CCAGAGCCCAGCAGGTAGAGGCTGCAGTGGCCGGAAGCGGCCACTGCACTCCAGTCTGGGCGACAGAGTGAGACTCCAACTCAAACAACAACAACAACCAAAAAAAACCCTCTTAACTCCAGCCCCTTACTGCTAAATTTGACTGACTAATAAAACAAAAAACAAGAACCTTCATCTTGCAGAGTGGTTAAGAATGATCAGGAATAGGTTATTCAGCCGGGCTTGGTGGCTCAGCCTGTAATCCCGCGCTTTGGGAGGTTAAGGTGAGTGGATTGCCTGAGCCCACGGGTTCGAGACCTGCCAGGGCAACTTGGCAAGCCCTCATCTCTACAATAAATCAAAACATTAGCCGGGTGTGGTAGCGCGCACCTGTGGTTCCAGCTACTTGGAAGGCTGAGGCAGAAGGATCGCTGGAGTCCAGCAGGTCGAGGCTGCGGTGGCGGGGAGCGGCCACTGCACTCCAGTCTGGGCAACGGAGTGAGACTCCAACTCAAAAAAAAAAAAAAAAAGGAATAGGTTATTCATTTATTCAACACATACAGCAGTTGTTAGGAAAATTCTCTGGCGTCATACCTGCTGGGTTTGCAATTTTGCAGATCCCAGGCAATTCCACTAGGGGGCAAGGTTTGGAGAGGACTTGGATCGAATGAATATCTGGGACAGTGCTGCCAACAAAGTGGATCCTGAACCTGCCACACACTGGAATCACCTAGGCAACTTCAGCAACCGCTGATGCCTGGACTCGGCCCCAGGGATTCTGATCTAATTGATCTGGGTGGGGCCTGGGCTTCAGAATTGTAAAAAGATTCTCCAGATAATTTAAGTTTGGGAACAACCGACCTGCGTAGATAATGACAGCTATTGTTGCCAGGTGCTATTTAGTAAGTATTTTACATATATTTTTTTTTTTTTTTTTTTTTTTTTTTTTTTTTTTGAGTTGGAGTCTCACTCTGTCGCCCAGACTGGAGTGCAGTGGCCGCTCCCGGCCACCGCAGCCTCGACCTGCTGGGCTCCGGCAATCCTTCCGCCTCAGCCTTCCGAGTAGCCGGAATTACAGGCATGCGCTACCACGCCCGGCTGATTTTTTGATTTATTGTAGAGATGATGTCTCGCTGCCCAGGCGGGTCTCGAACCCGCGGACTCATGCAATCCACTCACCTCAGCCTCCCAAAGGCGCGGGATTACAGGCTGAGCCACCGAGCCCGGCTTATTTTACATATATTTATAAATGCCCATTTGTTCCTCTAAAGCTATATGAGGTATCACCATTTCACAGACAAGGAAGCAGAGGCACGGAATGGTTAAGAGACTCACCCAAGGTCACAGACTAGCGTGTGGAGTCAGTTCGCCAGTTCTGGCTCAGGCTGTCTGATAGCAGAGTCTGCCCTCAGCCACTGGCCTGTGTTGCACTGAGCACTCGCTGTGTACTGCTGCCTGTGCTAAGTATCGTTAGGCATTTCACTTTAACCTTCCAAACCTTGAGGGAGAAGAGAGCGGCCTCCCAGATGAGGAAACAGGCTCGCGGCTGGCTAGTGTCAGGGTCTCTGCTCCTAACCACCCTTCTCTGTTGCCACAGAACCTGAAGGCAGCCAACACGGACCCCACAGCTCCGCCCTACGACTCCCTACTAGTGTTTGACTACGAAGGCAGTGGCTCCGACGCCACCTCCCTGAGCTCCCTTACCTCTTCGGCCTCTGACCAGGACCAAGATTACGATTACCTGAACGAGTGGGGCAGCCGCTTCAAAAAGCTGGCGGACATGTACGGTGGCGGCGAGGACAACTAGACCTGCCAGCAGGACCGGGAACTGAACTTCTGGCTGCAACAGCATCTCCAAGGATCTCAGTTCCCCACAGCCAAGGACTTTGGAGCTTGTCGGGAAGTGGCCTTAAACTTGGAGGGAATAGGCTGACATTGGAAGGGTTGGTTTCTCAGCCCTTCAAGATGGAGGAGCGTGGGCAATTCGACTTTAGTGCTGAAACCTCTCAGCCTGGGTCAGGGTCACCTCGGAGGCCGAATTTCCAGAAGCCTCTCGCCTGCCTGAAGTGCCCAGCCCTATCCAGGGCTGGAACCTGCTCTGACCACTCCATGATGACTCTCTGGAGTGGACCCCTCTCCTTAGAGGCCTCTTCGTGCAACATATTTTTTTTTAATGCTGTTTTCAAAACGTTAGAGGCAGGTCCTCAGCCGTCCCCTGGGTCCTCCGGCAGCATTGTCCAGAGCTGCTAGGCCCACTGGCCCTCGTGCATCTCTGACTTCTAGACCCCCAGTCTCCCATTCGATGGGTCACTGCATTATTTGTTGGGTTTTTTTGTGTTTTTTGTTTTGAGTTGGAGTCTCACTCTGTCGTTCAGACTGTGGTGCAATGGCACTCTCCCCGCCACCGCAGCCTCCACCTGCTGGGCTCCGGCGATCCTTCCACCTCAGCCTTCCAAGTAGCCAGAACTACAGGTGCGCACAACCACGCCCAGCTAATTTTTTTTTTTTGATTTATTGTAGAGACGAGGTCTCACCAAGTTGTCCAGGCTGGTCTCAAACCCGTGGGCTCAGGCAATCCACTCGCCTTGGCCTCCCAAAGTGCTGGGATTACAGGCTGAGCCACCAAGTCCGGCCTCACTGTGTTTTTATACTGAATGTGTCTAGGTTGTTCTTTATTTTTTATTTTCCCTGTTGTGTGCTATAGATGAAGGGTGATGACGATCGTATACATGTACTAGAACTTTTTTTATTAAAGGAACTTTTCCTAGAGGTGCCAGGGGAGTGAGTTCTTTCTGTTTAAATAGAAGCTCTCTGGCATCTAACTCACATACCATGCTGTTCCCTCATCTAAAGTGTTCTATCCCTGCCAGCTTCAGCTCCACTTCTTCTGCCGTCGGAAGAGTCTATGCTTTGAGTGCTGATAGATTCGTTTCCCTACCCAGGTGTGCTCGGTGCAGGGGAGACCTGTGAGAGAACTACTAGTGTTACTGTTGGCCTGAGTCTACCCCAGCCAGGCAAGGTCTCTCCTGGGGCAGTGGCTGCTCCCCCTGCCACCTGGCATGTGGAAGCTTCCCTTTCTGGCGGGGCTGTGTTGAAAAGCAGGGGTGGAGGATCCAGCCCTGCTGCTTCCTGGCAAGTTGCTTAACCTCTAGTTGCCTCAAATTTTGCATTTATAAAATGGGAGGTTCAGATTTGAGGGGGTTGCCTCAGATTTTGCATTTATAAGATATGGGAGATTAGGTTTTGGTTTGGTTTTTGAATCGGGGTCTCACTCTTACCTAGGCTGGAGTGTAGTGGGACGACCACAGCTCATTGCAGCCTTGACCTTCTGGGCTCGGGTGATCCTTCTGCCTCATCCTTCCAATAACTGAAACCACAGGTGCGTGTCACCACACCTGGCTAATTTTTTTTTTTTTTTTTTTTTTTTTTGG